GCTGGACTGAGACTGACTCCTTGCTCATCTGCTACTCAAAGTGCAATGAACTGGGGAGGGATGGCATGGATGGGAAAGGTTGCTGGATGATTTGAGGGGCTGATGTCTCCCTCCTAGAAAGATCCACTCCCCCATCACATACCCCTAACATACAGCGATCCCCACTCAAGGGGGACTGTGCCACCACACAGGACCCTCACCCCGAGAGCTAAAAGAGGAGGAGGCAGTCGCTGCTTGAGCTGCCAGAAGTAGAACTAGGGTGCCCTTCTTCTTGTGTGTCCATTCCCCTTCCAGTCTATTGAGCTGGGTGGGAAGTAGGGATGGGCACCTCGAGCCACCTGCAGCTGAGGGGGTACTGGAGGGAAAGGACAGGGGGGTGGGACAGCAGCAGAGGGGAACTACAGAGCCCAGCTGGAGAAGAGGGGTAGCTGGGGCTCCTCAAAAAGTACAGGAGGAGCCAAAGAGGGAGAAGGTGCAACACTGAGGCTGGCTCCCCAGTGCAGGTCAGAGGGGCCGTGAGGGCAGGCGGGGAGGTCCCCTGCCTTCACAGGACAGAGGGGGGCATCAAGAGCAGGAGGGTACCAGGTCCCCAGCCCTGCCCTAGGCCACACTCACTTCAGGGTCACCCCAACCTTAGAGGTCAAGGGCCCTCCTCTAAGACTGGGCAGGGCAGGTTTTGATGATGCCCCCACTCAGCAAAGCCCCTTCAAAGTGCCATCTCTTTACTTCTCAAATTAAAAGGTATCCAGGTCTGAGTGTCCAGGAAAAGGAGTGAATTTCGTAACCCCCTGTGACAGCGAGGGGAGGCAGCCTCGTCCCTCCAGGGGGTGCCGAGTCACTCTGCAGACAAGTGGGGAGGAGGAAGTAACTGGGGGAAACCAGCCCACCCAACCTCCAGGAGAGAGGACACGGAGAAATAGGATGAGAAAGTTTTAAATAGTATTTCATCAAATAAAAATGCCCAGCACTCCGAGGAACCTATCACTCGACTGCCTAGTTTTTGTTTAAATAATTCTAATGCCAGAGGTTGGGGGGCAGGGGGCAGCCAGGGTATGTACATGAGGAGGAGTTTAAATTAAAACACAAATAATAATTAAGACACACAAACTGAAAGACTAAGGCAGAAGGTGTAGACGCCCTCGCGTTTCCAGGACTGGGCGGATTAAGGCTTCCTCTTGGAGAAGATCAGCCGGCGTTTGGAGTGGTAGAAATCTGAGGAGAGAGAGCGGAAGTCAGCCAGGCCAAGAGGAAGAGGACACGGTGGAAGAGGACAGGAAGAACTTGGAAACGCCCACGCTGCCTCTTGGGGGGTACTTATGGAGCGTCCCACCGTGCTTCACAGATGTGATTTTATCCATCACTGCACCTGCACCCACAGGTCTGCTCTAAGCCAAGCTGCCCAGTAGAGGAGCCACTAGTTCTGTGTGCTTGTTTAAATTGACCAAAATCAAATAAAATGAAAAATTCAGTTCCTCAGTCACACGAGCCGCGTGTCAAGTGCACAACAGCCATATGTGGTTTGTGGCCCCTGGACCGGACACTCCCATCCCTGCAGAGTTCTACTGGAAAGTGCTGATCTAGGGATTCTGTTACAAAATCCATGAAAGTGCTCAGCACAATTCCAGGCCCATGTAAATGTCAGTAGTCGTTGTTCTTACCATTAGTCCTGACCTAACCGCAAATTCACTTTGGGACCTTAGATGAATCACTCTACCTCTCTAAGCCTGGATTCCTTTTCCTAAAAGGATGGCAAGGGGCTAGGCACGGTGGCTCATGCCTGTAATCCCAACACTTTGGGAGGCTGAGGCAGGAGGACTGCTTGAACTCGGAGTTTGAGACCAGCCCGGGCAACATGGTGAGACCTTGTCTTTACAAAAGCTCAAAAAATAAGTCGGGCATAGTGGCATGCACCTGTAGTCCCAGCTTCCCAGCTACCCAGGAGGCTGAGGTGGGAAGATAGCTTGAGCCCAGGAGTTGAAGCTGCAGTGAGCCATGATCACTTCACTACACTCCAGTTTGGCCAACAGAGTTAAGACACCCGTCTCAAAAAGAAAGGCGGGGAGGGTGACAAGAATGTCTTATTATATAACATTGCATAAGGACTAAATAAATCTACCTTAGAAGCTTAGCAAAAGGCCTGGCATAATATAAGTTCCCCACAAATGTTAGCTAGTTGGTCTTGGCTGCCTACTTGCTGTGTGAACTCTGGGCCTGTTTCCTTCTACCTAAGGAGCACACTAGACCAGGACAGGACAGGTCAGCTCTTGGACCATGGACTCTGAGAATCCTGGTCGCTTACAACGTCCTTCCCTGTACCTGTCCTCACCTGTCATGCTGGTCTGCCGCCGTTTTCGACCCTCAGAGTCTCCAGGTCCACCTGGGGACTCCTCAGGCCGCTCCCCTGAGTGAGGCATAAGGGTGCAAGACAGCGACAGGTCCACGTGGTCTTCCTCCGCTGTCCCCTGCAGCAGAGCAGGCGAGGTGCCAGGCCGCCTGCCTCCTCCCAGGGGCCCTTTGGGAAGGCAGATCTTGGGCAGGCCAAGGCCCCGCACACGCTCCCAGGAGAAGTCACCCTCCAGTGGTGTCTCGGTGACAAAGTCGAAGTTCCATCGCTCACGGGCCTCCTGGATGCAGCCTGCCATCAGTGCGTCACAGTCGCGTCTCAGCTGCTCACTGTCCACCGGGCCGAAGAGGCAGCGGCGGGCCTTGCTGCTGGATGGGTTCGGACGGACATCCCCAACCTGTTCTGACATGGCGCCTGCAGCAGAGACACAAGGAAGGCCCTGGTCACCGTGGAGACTGGACACTACGCTACCTGGCTGGGCTTTGCTGTGTCACCTCAGGTAAGGTCTTCCTACCACAGGGTCTCTCTGACTCCTTCCAGCTGGTCTTCCTGCCTCCTTCCCACAGGAGGCCTGACCCCCACCAGCAGAGCTCAGCCAGCCTGGCACCCCAAGGTCACTGGGGGAGCAGGCAGCTGAAGGGCAAGCTAATGTCAACAAAGTCAAGTTTATTGCAAAAGCGAGGATCAGGGTCCTGTTTACCACCAGGTATTATCAGCTAAAATCAATTTGTTTTTCCCCCTGAGGTGTCCCTCATGGGTGTGAATGTCCCCAAATACGTGTGAATTGCCAGAGTCCAGCAGTTTCTGAATCCCAGCCCTGGCCAGGAGGTCAGTTCCCAAATAAAGAAACAGTCTGACAGTTCCTCCAGCCTCCTGAACTCCCACCCAGATGCCCAAGTAAGGTTACCCTGCTCGGCCAAGTAAAAGTACCCTGGACTCTGGGGTAAAAAGCACCTGGGTTGTGGTCCTAGCTCTGCCACTTACTACCTAACTTTTAAAAAGCCACTAGGTCTCAGTTTCCTCACCCATAAATGGGTCCACATTCAAGTTTAAAGAGCATGGCTGGGCCAGGCGTGGTGCCTCACACCTGTAATCCCCGTACTTTGGGAGGCCAAGGTGGGCGGATCACCTGAGGTCCAGAGTTCGAGACCAGCCTGATGAACATGGAGAAACCCCATCTCTACTAAAAATACAAAATAAGCTGGGTGTGGTGGCGCATGCCTGTAATCCCAGCTACTCAGGACGCTGAGGCCGGAGAATCACTTGAACCTGGGAGGCGAAGGTTGCAGTGAGCCAAAATCGCGCCGTTGCACTCTAGCCTGGGCAACAAGAGCAAAACTCTGTCTCAAANAAAAAAAAAAAAAAAAAAAAAAAGAGCATGGCTGTGGACACATACTCAAGCAATTGATTGGGGAGTCCATCCAGCAAGGCAGATGGAACAGAGCTGAATGAAAGGCTGTGTCTTGGTGGCTACACGGGAAGGCTCTGGAGCCAGATCACCTTGGTTGAAGTCCAGGTTTTACTAGGTGACCCTGGACAAGCAACTTAACTTGTCTGAGCTCTATTTTCCTCATCTGTGAAATGGAGATAGCAATGGTGACTGTCTCAGAGGATAGGTGTGAGGATTCAATGAGTTAATGTAGGTAAGGTGGCAGCAGCACTTCATATACAGAAGTGCCTGAAAAATGGAAGTGTGATTATTTCTCTCTGCCTTCAGTTTTACTGAGCCTCCTCCCTATCACTTCTCCCTGCCAACTGTCCCCTTCAGAAAGCAGCTGACAGGTGCTGTAGGCTGAAGGCCTTTCCCAAGGATGTCATCAGGCGGGTGGCCTAGGGGTAAGGAGGGGCTGGGCAGGGCTGGGCGGGGCGGGGCAGAAGATAATTTCTCCCAGGCTGAGCCACATCCTGCCAGGCACATCAGGTGATCTGAAGTCTAGACACCTGGCAGCCCCTGCCCAGTGCTGCCTGCTTCCAAGGAACCCGTTTTGCAGACAAAGAAAATTAAAAGTGACTGATCTACCTGGCTCCTCTCCTCCCACTTCAGGAGAGGGAAAACCAAGGGTGAGTTTGCCCATGAGGGAGCCCTGGCACCTAGCTGCCCACTCTGGCTTGACTCCAGAACTGAGTGACTGCACGACCTTGGCAGCAACTGGGTTTTCCTAGGGACAAGTCCCAACTTGCAGGCTCTGGGAGGTGAAATCTCTGTTGAGTGTTCCTGAGGCAGGAAGCCTGGGACACATGCCACATCTGCTTCATCCCACCTCACCCCACTGCTTGTGATCAGTGGAGCCCACAGTTTCACGTCCCAGCTGCTTGGGAGAGGAGGCACTTGGTAACCTCACACCAAGTTTAAAGGGCAGGAGATGGAAGAGATACGAGACTTGCCCCCAAGTCATACAGCTAAAAAGGTCAAAGGCCACTGCCCCATAAAGAGGTCACACAGTACAGTGGACAGAGCCCTCAAGGAACCTCTGTCTACCCTCTCCTAGGCATGAGTTGGGATTTATTTGTATATTTTCCTGTATGGGGGCTGTTCTAAGCAGTTTAAAAATGTCAATCCTCTAAAAAGTGGATAGCTATTAGCTCCCTTTTTACCGAAGAAGTAACAAAGGCTCAGAGAAGTTAAGTAACTTGCCCAACGTCACACAGTTCATAAGTGGCAGAGCCAGGATCTGAACACAGGCCTGTTTGCCCTGAGTCCTGTGCTCTAGTATTGAACCCACCCCCTCTCTAATTTTGAGGTTTCTTAACCAGAGAGTCCCATCAGAATCACTTGGGGAGGCCAGGGGCAGTGGCTCACACCTGTAATCTAACACTCTGGGAGGCTGAGGTGGGGGAATCATGTGAGCCCGAGGGTTCAAGACTAGCCTGGGCAACACAGAGGGACCCTATCTCTTCTAAAAATAAAAATAAACAAAAATTAGCTGGTGGGCTGGGCGCAGTGGCTCATGTCTATAATCGCAGAACTTTGGGAGGCTGCAGCAGGCAGATAACTTGAGGTCAGGAGTTCAAGACCAGCCTGGCCAACATGGCAAAACCCTATCTCTACTAAAATTATAAAAACTAGCTGGGTGTGGTGGTGCACACCTGTAGTCCAGCTACTCAGGAGGCTGAGGCAGGAGAATCGCTTCAACCCAAGAGGTGGAGGTTGCAATGAGCTGAGATCACACCACTGCACTCCAGCCTGGGTGACAAGAGTGAGACTCCATCTCAAAAAAAAAAAAAAAATTAGCTGGGCATGGGGGCTCATGCGTGTGGTCCCAGCTACTTGGAAGGCTGAGACAGGAAGATTGCTTGAGTCTAGGATGGTGCCATTGCACTCCAGCCTGGGTAACAGAGTGAGACCTTGTCTCAAAAAAAAAAAAAAAAAATCACTGAGGGAGCTTTTTCAAGGCCTTGCCTCTTGAGACCAACTTAATCCAGATTGAAGATTGAAGATTTAAGTAAGTGTTTGAAGATTCAAGCAAGTGTTCAGCACAGTTCCTCAGATGGGCACTCTTGGGGTGCCAGACAAGGGTGACACTGGTGTGTTTGAAATGGACATTCTGGGTCTCAATACATCATAGGCGCAAGGAAGGGCTTCATCAAGGATTTTCCCTGGCTCCCAGGAGCTCAAGACAGGACTAGGATCCAGGCAGGCACCCTCTCCTCTTCTACCACCCCTTCCCTTAGGGCTCTCATAGGCCTCTCCTCCCCCATCCAAATCTGCTCTCATGCGCATTGTCATAACTTTCAGCCCAAAGAAAACTCAGAAACGCAAACCCTTGTTTTACAAATAACTGAGAATAGCCTCCTTTGTTGGCCTTCCTGCGTTAGACTTCAGTCATATTTTAATTTCCAGTAAGAGCTCAGTAAATACTGTTGAACCTAAGGAGTGTTCCTTTGAAGGGGCGGTGAATGGCTTAGGGGTTGATGTCAGACGAGCCCGGGGTACCCGCAGTGGTTCCCGCCTGCCAGTCTCACTCCGCGGGAAAGCGGGTGTACCATTCGCATCAAGGCCGGGAGGGGGCGCCGGCCTCCAGGAAATCACGCGCGGGGTGGGAGGTACGTGGGCAGAGCATTGGACAGCGGGGGAGTAGTGATGAGTCAGTTTCCCGCAAGGCGCTGCCCGCCCGCCAAAACTCCGCTTCCACTCCGGCTGCGCGTCACACTGGGGTGGGGAGAGGGAGAATGGGAGGGGACCGGAGAGCCGTGAACACGTCACGCTGGGCCGGCCAGGCTTCCCAAACTCCCGCCGCTGTTGCGAAACCGCGCGCTCCTGCGCCGTCTCTGACACACACACACACACACACACACACACACACACACGCACACACGCACGCGTGCGCGCGCGCGCCGGGAGCTGGCCCCTCCACCTTATCTCCACGCCCAAAGCACGGGATGAGTCAGATCCCTGGAAAATAAAAATAGACGGGAGCAACGAAAACAAAACCGCTCGGAAGTTCTCCCAGAAACACGACGTGGAGGAGGGGAAGGAGAGGGGAGGCTGTCTGGGCGCCCCTAGTTCCAAACCCAGCCCCTAGATGTTTTTCCGCACGAAGAGGGCGCAAGTGTCCCCCAAGGGTTCGGGACTGAGAGGACGCGCCGTGGTCTGCGCCCGGCGGCGGCGCTCAAGCCCCTGCTCCGCTCAGCCTTGTCGCTTTCGGAGAGGGAATCCGGGCTAGGTCGGGGCACCCCGAGCCCCCGCGGCAGCTGATGGAGGCCTTGAGCAGCGTCGTGCTCCCCAGAAACGCCACCCACCCGCAAAGACGTGATCTTTCCCCACCTCCCACTCAGGCGTGGGCTCCGCTCTCGCCCCGGAGTCCAGCGCCCCGACTCGAGGGCAGGCTGAGCCGTGGTTCTCCGGGACGCGGTGGGAAAGAGGTAGAGGAGACCCCTGCCCGTCCCGGACTGACAGGCTGGTTAGAGCCCGCCCAGAGCAGGGCGTTGACTCCCCGGCCTCTAGGGCGCGCCGCGGAGCGGGGATCAGACGCGGCGTCCTGGACCTTCAGTGCCCAGCTTCCCTGGGAACACGCTGTGCCAGCCAAATAGGTCACTGTGCTGATGGGAGGGCGAGACCCGAAGGGACAGGGAGGGGGCTTCTGGGGTCCCACTGTACCCCAGCCCGGGCAAGGTTCTGACCTTATACAGTCCGTTCCCTGGGGTCTTCTTGTCACAATGAGTCAGCTCCTCGCTGGTCCTTAGGGGACGTGTCCTGGCACATTCCCAAGGGCCGGGAAACAGCCCGCACTTACTTCAGCGCCCAGCCAGATGGTGGACACAGTGGCGTAGAGGACCTGAACCCCGGGACGTGGGCCAGGGCGGCGCCGCTTGGGTACGAGAACCGCCCGGGACAGATCCCAGACGAACTTACTCCACTACACCTTCCTCGCCCCTCCTGGACCCCTCCAGGGACACGGACTTCATTCCCATGCCAGGAGCAAACTGCGCCTGGGGCTCGGAGCCCACCGCTACCGAGGGCGAGCTCCCAGAGCGGCCCCGTCCACGCCCTCCCTCGCCCCAGCTGGGTTTCCAGGGGCGGGGAGGGTGGCCCGGGATCCCTGTACTTGTAATCCCGCTCTCCGCCCGGAGTCTCTGACACATCCCGACCCCCGTCACGCGAGCACTTTACAGACACCGTGCGCGCAAGCTGAGCGCGCAAAGACCCACGCCCGTCATTCACCTGCCGCTGAAACACCTGTGAACGCAGCACACACCCGCGGACACGCATCCCCGCGACACGCACGGACACAGGCAGGCACGCTAGGCTCGGCTCTGGGCCGGCGGCCTGGGGTCCCCTGTTGGCTGCCGCCGCTCCCTCACCTCCTCTGAGTGCCTCGGCGAATCCGCGCCCAGCTCTGACCCCACAAGGAACCGACTCCCGCAGCTGCTCACACCTCAACTGGTGCCTCTCTGCTGGCGCTAATATAACCTACCCCCAGGAGGGGCGGGACCCGCGCTCGGCCTACCGCGCCGCCCCTGGACCGCCCTCCCCCAGGCCGGGGGCCCTGGCTGCCCAGCGCGGAGCCAGCTGAGCCTGGCGGAGTTCCAGCAGCCCCAGACGGTCCCGGAACCTCGCGTGCTGCAGGAGGGCGCTTCCCTCCTCCCGTTGTCTCTAACGTGCGTCGGTGCACTGGACACATTTTTCCCACAAAGTGAGCCTCAAATTTGGCCTTTTTTAGTTGGAGAATGACTTGGCACTCCCCAGGAGGGCACTGTTCGAATGAGCCCCCTTTCTGGCCCACCGCTGACCCACTATGGCAGGCAAGGATTTACCCAATGCAGCTGAAAAGATCAGGAAGATGACATTCGTAAATAAAAATCCATAAATAATAAAAACAATGGACCTCTCTGCAATTTCCAGAAAAGCTCCACGATACCACCTCTATTCCCACTGATCCCTCATTAGGTCACCTCTCCCAGACACACCTGGGGCACCTAGACACCCCAACAAAACATCTTGAGGCCAGAATGATTTTTCAGTCCTCTTTAGTTCACAGATGAGGCAACAGAAGGTCCACTGAACTTAAGTATACAAAGTTGTTGTCACATGCTTCCGGGAAGGAGGGAATTGGAGACACTATCAGAAAACCGAGGAGGAATTGGACATTGAACCAATCTCCGTACACCGTACACTCACCTCAACAGAAGAACACTGTGATTGCAGCAGCTTTGTTGGCCAGGAAGCGGAGGATTTGATGAGTGAGTTGTCTGTCTCCTAAATACTCCCCACATGGCCCATATACACTGCTGGGGAAACTGAGGCTCAGAAAAGTCTAGTGACCTGACTCAGATCATACAGCAAAGAAATGACTATGGTTGGAACACAGGACTTTTGCCTCCTGCCCAAGGCTCTCTGCTTGTCACCCTTTATTTCTGTGGCTCCAGGATGACAAAAATACCCAATAACCCTCATTTGCAGACAGTTTATGGAAATGACACAAATAAAGGATAATTCTGGAAGTGTCTACTGGTGCTTCTGACGGACACAGAAATGAGTAACGTGTCTATCTGCTCCCATCTACCCCATACCTGTGACCTCCCTTGGACTTCACCTTTGCCTCCTTTCTGTGCCTGAAACCTTTGTTTTGCTTTGAAAAAATTGCAGAGGATGGATTGTTAATCTGAAAATAAATGCACTAAAAAATAGAACCCAGGCTTGGAGAGCTACAATTACTGACATCTCAGGCTGCTGAGTCTGGAAATCTCTGCCCAGGCATGTCCAAAGCCTTTTTTTTTTTTTTTTTAATAAAGGTTTGTAATGAATTATAAAGTTTTGTGGTACTGAGCTTCACAACGAAATAATTCTTTGCACATCGTTTTTTATTATTTATGGATTTTTATTTATTAATGTCATCCTCCTGATCTTTTCAGCTACATTGAGTAAACCCTTGCCTGCCATGGTGGGTCAGTGGTGGGCCAGAAAGGGGGTTCATTCTAACAGTGCCTTTCCTCCTGGGGAGTGCCAAGTCATTCTCCAACTAAGAAAGGCTCACTTTGAGGGAAAAAACCTGAGGCCCACTTTGAGGGAAAAATGTGAGGCCCACTTTGAGGGGAAAACTTGAGGCCCACTTTGTGGGAAAAATGTGTCCAGTGCAAATTTTCTTCCTCTAACATAGCTGACCTCAGGGAGGAGAGGCTTCTGTCTTCTCCACTGTGAGGATGGGAGCCCAGGTAGGGGTGGGAGGACACAGGAGCAGATCCCCTTGGCCTGCCTGGCCCTGGAGTCGGGCCAGGATTGTGGTTAAAGCCCAGAAAGTCCATGGCACGGCCTCAGGACCCCACTCTCAGACCCACTGCTGTCTCCACCTTCCCCCCTGTACATCCAAGCCATCCAAAGTTATCAAATGTCCAGCAGAGGACAGGCACCTCCTCCCACTGCCTTAAAGCCCCTCTGCTTTCAGGCATTTCAAATAGACGAGACAGTCTGTCTGTTTATTTTGGGGGAAAATTTTTTTTATAAAGGCCTGTAATGAATTATTTAAAGTTTTGTGGTACTGAGCTTCACAATGAAATAATTCTTTGTGTTGTTGTTTTTGGGAAACAATTTTTTTATAACCTCTGGCTCACCACCACATTCAATATTCAATATATTCAGTACCTACTAAGTATCTAGTACTATTCAGTGCTTAAAAAAAAAAAAAGTTTGCAACCATGCACTTGAATGTGTAGCCAGACACTCTCCAAGGGAGGACCTCTGCCCTGAAGCAGGCAAGGGAACAGGTTGTTAGAAGTCACACACAAAATCTGACTCCCAGCACACATTCACACAAACACACATACACCAGATCCCAGCCCTGTCCCAAGGATCTGCTGGCAGATCACATACCCTGTTCAGAGAAAGGGGCCAAGGTCTACCTGAGGTCTCTGGAGGTCCCCTGTCTCCTACCATCCCCTTCCTCACCTGAAAACAGCCAGCCCCAAGGACAGAATAGCCACCAGCTTCTTCTATGCCAGAGCTCAACATGTTGGGACATGTTCCTGATGGCCAGAAAACCAATCAGAGCCACACACAGCCTGCTGCCTGAGCATGTTCCCTGGGAAGCAGGCAGCTTAGGGATGGAGGGAGGCTCAGCCTGGGGTGACAAGAGCGCCCAGACCAGCCCCCTCCCCCAGAGTGGGGTGGAGCAGGGTAGGGTAGGGGAATGGGGAAAGGTGGAAAGCCCAAGCCTCAAGAAGGAGGATTTGAGAAGAGCTCAGCATTGGCTGCAGGAGCTGCCTGGGAAGGGAGAGGAAGTGCTGGGAACGATGTCACCATTTCTCAGAAAGGGACTGGGGAGTCCCAAATAGGGGCAGTCAGCTTTCAGAGGAATTCACCTCCACACAGGCTCCTAAGAAGTGAGACCCTAGAGAAGAGGCGGAACAAACATAGAACATTATTGAGCAGAAGCAGCCCTGGCTTTTTGTTTTTGTTTTGTTGGGATACTTTTGTTGTTTGTTTTTGTTTTCATTTTTTGAGACAGTGTCAGCAGTGGCACCATCTCAGCTCACTGCAGTCTCCACCTCCCGGGTTCAAGAGATTCTCCTGCCTCAGCCTCCCAAGTAGCTGGGATTACAGGCACCCACCATCATGCCCAAATAATTTTTGTAGTTTTAGTAGAGACAAGGTTTCACCATGTTGGTCAGGCTGGTCTCGAACTCCTAACCTCAGGTGATCTGCATGCCTCAGCCTCCCAAAGTACTGAGATTACAGGCATGAGCCACCATGTCTGGCTTTTTTTTTTTTTTAGAAGAATGACTTTGGGAACTAACGCCATGACCTGCTGGGGGCTTTACCCAGTCAACACAAGGACCCGACTGACCATACATTAAGGCAGAGAAATTTGTGATGGAATCTGTGCAACACAAACACTTCCAGATACCCAAGCCTGCTACTGCCTAAGCCTGAAATTTCACCATTAGAAATTCACTCCTTTAGGCTGATCTGAGTGCAGTGGTGTTTACAACTAATTGATCACAACCAGTTACAGATTTCTTTCTTCCTTCTCCACTCCCTCTGCTTCACTTGACTAGCCTTAAAAAAATAATAATAAATAAAAATAAATAGGCCTGCCCAGGCACAGTGGCTCATGCCTGTAATCCCAGCACTTTGGGAGGCCGAGGCGGGTGGATTACCTGAGGTCAGGAATTCAAGATCAGCCTGGCCAACATAGTGAAACCCTGTCTCTACTAAAAACAAAAAAATTAGCCAAGCGTAGTGGCAGGTGCCTGTGATCCCAGCTACTTCTGAGGCTGAGGCAGAAGAATTGATTGAAGCTGGGAGGCAGAGGTTGCAATGAGCTGAGATCGCACCATTGCATTCCATCCTGGATGACAAAGGAAAACTCCATCTCAAAAAATAAATAAATAAGCCTGGAACAGTGGCTCACACCTGTAATCCCAGCACTTTGGGAGTCTGAGGCAGGTAGATAATTTGAGGTCAGGAGTTCGAGACCAGCCTGACCAACATAATGAAACCCCCCTCTCTGCTAAAAATACAAAAATTAGCTGGGCATGGTGGCACAGGCATGTAATTCCAGCTACTTGGGAGGCTGAGGCAGAAGAATTGCTTGAACCTAGGAAGTGGAGGTTGCAGTGAGCTAAGATCTCGCCACTGTACTCCAGCCTGGGCAACAGAGCGAGGCTCTGTCCCAAAAAAATATATAAAAAAGAAAAAGAAGATTTTTGTGAAGTGACGAAGGAGGTGGTGGCTGCGGTGGGCTCCAGGCAGCCGTTCGGGCTGGGGCTGTCGACCGCAGGGCAGAGGCACTCGCGCGGGGGGCGTAATTCGGGGTCTGGGTTCTGGTGCCGCGCAGCTTTCCCTGTCTAAAAGTTGATTTTAATTGGTTGCCCACAGGATTGACTTGGCCTCTACTTCTTGTTAAGAAAATACATCTCTTGTTTTATCAGTATGTGTGGTTTCAGCACAGCATGGCTGTGGTCATCCGTTTGCAAGGTCTCCCAATTGTGGTGGGGACCATGGACATTCGCCACTTCTTCTCTGGATTGACCATTCCTGATGGGGGCGTGCATATTGTAGGGGGTGAACTGGGTGAGGCTTTCATTGTTTTTGCCACTGATGAAGATGCAAGGCTTGGTATGATGCGCACAGGTGGTACAATTAAAGGGTCAAAAGTAACACTATTGTTGAGTAGTAAAACGGAAATGCAGAATATGATTGAACTGAGTCGTAGGCGTTTTGAAACTGCCAACTTAGATATACCACCAGCAAATGCCAGTAGATCAGGACCACCACCTAGCTCAGGAATGAGTGGTGGGGTAAACTTGCCCACAACAGTATCCAACTTTAACAGTCCTTCGCCCAGTGTAGTTACTGCCACCACTTCTGTTCATGAAAGCAACAAAAACATACAGACATTTTCCACAGCCAGCATAGGAACAGCTCCTCCAAATATGGGGGCTTCCTTTGGGATCCCGATGTTTAG